GGGGGCCGCCGAGGCGAGCCCCGTGCGGTGAGGCCCCTCGGTGCTCCAGGGCGGCTCTCTGTACCGCCGTCGTGTTTACAGACCTGTTCCCGAAATTGTTTAGAACTTGGCTAGTTTTGCATGGGGTTACCGATCGCTGCCAGCGGCGTCTGCTCGCCGTCTCGAAAAGCCTTAAGCATCAACTGTCGCATTCTTGGAGGGTGTGCTTTTCTGTCGTTCTGTTCCCCGTCCTCTGTCTCTGATTCAGCCGTCCTACCCACACTCTTGAATGGTAAGTCGCTGGCATTAAATAATGCCATTTCAGTTACGATGCTTCACGTACTTGCTCTGTTAACTTACTGGTTGTGTTGTGCCTGAGAATCGTTGTGACTGTGGTGCTCGCTGTGGTGTATGAGTGTCTCAATGCCACTTTAGCCGGACTTTAACACTTCAGTTGTGAGGAAAGCAACCGTAGTAATGCTGGTTTCCATCACAGTTTCCCTCAGATCGCAGAATGCGCAATATTACTGTCCATTACCGTTTCTCTGAAATCGTGGTCTCTACAGGTCCTGCTGTATTCCTTAGCTGAAATGGTGAAACCAAAGTTTCCTGGCATCTTTCTAATGAAGACTTGGTAGAGGACGTGCCAGTACGTAGCTGTCTTCTATGTCCAGTCACAAGTTGTATTAAAATAATGTGGAGAAGAGATATGTGTACTTGAGGAAGTATTCTTCACCAGTGTTTGGAGCTTGTGGGGTGGTGAAACTTTAGGTTCAGTGGATAGCTGAATTGAGTAGTGTTTTGCTCATACAAAGCTCTTTCTTGGGACATCTATTTGTGGTTAACTTGATGGAACAGGACTGTAACTGCCAAACTGGGTATTTAGCTGCTTGTTATTGTTAATTCTTCTAAAGGCTATGACATTATGCGTGTTGGGACAGGCTTAGATACCTTGCGAGAAACAGTGGAGGGAGGAGAAGGTTGTGTAATTTAAAGCATGGTCTGCTGGTGTCCGTTAAGCAGGAACACTGAAAGTATCTAATCTGGTAAAAGAACTGAGTGACTGGCTTCCAAATGACAGCTTGCGTTTTAGCTGGAGACCACCCAGACTGTCAGAGGTGTTTGATAAGCTGCTGTGAGTGAAATGTCGGATTCACATGCGATTATTAGCAGGAGACTAACATGGAGGGAGACGTGGGTGGAAATGTCAGACAGTTGGATTTTGAAAAGACTGGTTTGAGTTGAAGAGTATAGATGTGTACCACAGGGCTCTACAAACGGTTTAAATTTAGACATGTCACTAGTAATCCTAGGTATAGGTAGGCAAAAATGGAAGCGACATTGGAAGAATGCTTCCTTTTTGTAGTTCTTGGGTTACGATTTGCTTGCAGTGATCTCTTGGTCTGAATGATAAACTCTAAAGGCAGGGAATTTCTCACTGAACCATGACACAGAAGGCATTCAGCCTACTTTAGGTCTGCTCAGGAAAGAATATTTCTTCAGTCCTTCTGTATTTCCTGAATGTTTCACTTTGTGAGCTCTGACTGCCATTGAATCCATGCTGTCTTGTATGTGGGACAACTGGTAAAATTCTGCAGTTGCTTATATGCTCCTGAATCCTTGCAACACATCATTGTGGTAAGTTTTCTGTAGAACCTATGGTTTTGTTCACTGCTTACAGAAGTTCAGCTTCATTTAAAGTAACTGTTTTCTAAATAACTGTAGCAGGGATAAATAAGCATGCTGCATACCAAGAGCTGCACAACGTGTTGCTTTAGCTCTTTTATAATAAGTATTTTCAGGTGGCTTGTAATAGAATCCTTATTCCTTTGCACTTGTTGGTACTTTGACTTACTGATGAGTAACACTGTAGGACGGAGTTGTGAGGAGGGTGTATGTTTGTGATCTGAACATTTTTGGTGTTCAGCAAGTTTTGTTTCCCTAAGCAAGTGGATAGGAGTGAATTATGAGAAAGATTGAACTAACTGTACAGTACATCCAGTTGTGCCTTCTTGTTTTTCATTGAGAACCAAAGCGTGCCTGCTATGTTGATAATTCAAGTCCTGGAAAAACAACATTATCATTTTAATCAGGGTTGCTAACAGTTAGCATTTTGTTTTTGTTGAGATTTCCTTCTTCCTCCTGCTGTGCCCCCTCCCCAGTTTCCTTGTCTGGAAAAATCATTAGTCTGTGAATGTTATTTTGTTGATGCTTATCTATGTACCTAAAAGTATAGTTTTTGAGGTTCTCTTGTTAGGCACATCATTATCTGTGATCTTTCCAGATTGTCAATCACTTATTCAGAAACACATTTGACTCTAAAAGGAGTGCAAAACCCCGTAACTTTATATAATGCATGTACTGAGAAGGTGATTCGCCACAATGCTGTCTGAGTAGAGATCTGTGGGTAGAATCCATTCTGCTTCTGTTTTGTCCTTCTGTGATTTTTCCTGATAGAGATATGGGACCTGTGGAGGCTGGGCCAAAAACTGGTGCTGTAAAAGCTAAATGTCACTGTGTGGACCAAGCTCAATGCAAACAAAGAGTTGCTGTGGCCAGCATTAAGCCCACTCAAGAGAAAGAGGTGGGCTTGAAGGGAGGACACTGCCTTCTTCCTGATGTACAGCAGCAATTTTTCTGTGCCTGCCCACATAGCCTGTTCAGGGGATTCTGGAATTGGATTTTGTCCCTGCAGCTGGCGTCACTGAACTATCCTGACATGCAGTCTTCTACCTTGAGGGGCCCGAGTGTGCAGAAATCTTTTCACTTCAAGTTTTAGTGAAACTGTTTATTTCTTTGTAATTTTCCTGCTCTCTTGTGGTGGGATTTGATTGAGAGGCGTTGCTTGAGATATCCAGTTCTGCACATCAGATTGCATTAGCACAGATGAATGCTGCATCTTTTTTCTAACAAAAATAGTCAGTCGGATATATGTAGTTCAGCTTTACTAAATAAACCAGAGAGAAGGCAGCAGCTATCCCTTCTCATTCCTTGAACGTCCTCCATTTCAAAGCTTTTCTTAGCTCTCCCAACTTCACATTGTTCATTCCATTCACAGTTTATTTTCCTTCCTAGATGCTCGGTTGGATTTTTTGTTGTTATTGTTGTTGTGTCATTCCTGTGCTGGATGGCCTGAAAACTCAGCTTCCTCTGATTCCGTCTCATGTTTGCTATTGTTTGCAACTTCTTGCTTCTGAATGTAAAGATAATAAAGAAGTTGAAAGCACTCATTTCTGTGGTGAAATTGTCGTTTTACTTCTGTCAAGCCATTGTTGAAGTTTGTTGACTTTTATATACACTTTTTTGTTGTTTAGGAATGGTTTCGAACTGGACCAAAATTCCACCACCACTTTTCAAAAAAGTTGTCATTGTTCTGATAGATGCTTTGAGAGACGACTTTGTGTTTGGATCCAAAGGTAAACAGTTCATGCCGTATACTACACAAGTTGTTGAAAAAGGGACATCCTACAGTTTCATTGCTGAAGCGAAGCCACCCACTGTGACTATGCCTCGAATTAAGGTCAGTGGTTGTTTTTTTTTTTCATTTAGAGTGGTTTTATTTGAGAAAGTTTTGAAGGCTAGGTGGTTTCATGTACTCAGAGTTGGCATAAAGGGCCGGTTTGCTGCGTTACCGCAATTTGCAGCTGAAACTTGCTTTGCTGTAGTAGTGTATGTGATAGAGTCCTGATTTGTCATAGCCCAGAGGTGCTTTCCCACAGGAAAGGTCAGGTCAGGGATCTAAGGAACATAGTCAGACTGAGTAAGACGAAGAGGTGTCAGCTTCCACTTAAGTTGCTTTCCTTGTTTTGTTCCTTTATTTGGTAGCTCTGTGGTGGGAAGGTCTGTGAAAATCAGTTAAGGGCAGTTAAGGCTCTAGTACAGGCTTAAATGATTGGCATTTGTAATCACAGTAGCAGCCTCTCAGTTGCCAAATTTTCCAGTTGTCTTCTATCCAAGACCATTTCTGTTGATATTTGTCTGTGTTCTTGTAAATTCTGATAAGAAATCCAGTTTAGTGTAAATGTATTTTATCACAGGGATGTTTTTGCAGAGCGTAAAAAGAAAATTGTGCCAAGTTCCAGGTAACTAAAAGAGGAATTGTGGCTGTGTCATCATAATACTTGATTATCCAGGTTCCTTAGTGATGGATCTCAGTGACATTTCTTGCATTGAAGAAGCTGAGAGAGTGGTCAGCTAGAAGGCCAGTGAGAGGGTTACAGTCTGATAACTCTTGGTAGGTGGGTTTCATTACATTTTCCAGAAGATTCTTAATTACTGTTTTGAGTGTGCTACCATTGTTGTTGTGTTAAGTCAGTTTACTCAGGCCTTGTAAACCATCCTTTTGGTGGTTTAATGACCAGTAAATGAAGCGAATTTCAAGTGGCATACATAGTCATTTTGCTGTCCACTAATGAAGAAAATACTATTTTTACCTTTCTGTGAAGCAGTTATTCTCTGACGGCTCTTCTCACTGGCATCCAATTAGGACAAGGGGAAATGGATATAAGCTGGAACACAGGAGGTTCCGCTTAAACATGAGGAAGAACTTCTTCCCAGTAAGGGTAACAGAACACTGGAACGGGCTGCCCAGAGAGGTTGTGGAATCTCCTTCTCTGGAGATGTTCAAAACCCACCTGGACATGTTCTTGTGTGATCTGATCTAGGTGGTCCTGCTCCGGCAGGGCGATTTGCCTAGATGATCCTTTGAGGTCCCTTCCAATCCCTAACATTCTGTGATTCTGTGACATCAGCTATCACTGTGTTGTGTCAGGTGATGTGATGTGCCACAGCAGCTCCTGCATTATTTTACTTTATTATGTTTCTTTATTGGAAGTGTAATTTCTCTCCCCTCCGCTTCATTGCTTCCTCTTACACTAATACTGTCTTCTGAGCTCTGGAAACTTTTTGGTTTCTGTTAACATGTATCTTTTATTGTTTTATGTAGGCTTTGATGACCGGTAGCATACCTGGTTTCATTGATGTTATTGTGAACCTCAATTCTCCAGCTCTGTTGGATGACAATCTGATATGGCAGGCAAAAACAGCTGGGAAAAGAATAATCTTTTACGGTGATGATACTTGGGTTAAATTGTTTCCAAAACATTTTGTGGAATATGACGGAACAACATCCTTTTTTGTGTCAGACTTTACAGAGGTGAGAGGCTTTGTATAATCTCAAGTTAAATAGTGCGAGTACAAATACGTAGTGGCAACTTCTAAGAATAAGTGAGTAAAACCATCCTTGTTCTGAAACGCAAACCTGGCAATTAAATAGAAGTTGGATTTGTCTGTGTTCTCAGTGTTTGCATTGTAGAGCTAAGCATTTCAGTTCCTCATGCTTATGCTGTGGGAAGCGTTTGGATGATACATTTAGGGAAGTTATACAGTAACACAGTTTGTTACTGTATGATATTCTCACAAAACTTGTGGCAGGAAGTTAGACTGCTTGCTTTGTTTAAAAATTTCACTATCCATGTTTCCAGTTTACTATCACATTTATATTAGGATATGCCATCTTTAAAAGGCCCATTAATATGTAATCTTGGTCTCTTCAAGGCAAACTTTCTGTAGTATTGTATTGCTTTTGTAGTTGCCATATGAGTAATGTTTCAGTATGTTGTCAATGAGGGGGCATAGCAAGTAAATGAAACAAATTATGAAGATTATGATGCTAGGCACACTTACAAGAGTAAATGGTTTGGCAGTTTTGTTTCATATCTTGAACCTTTACGATTTGTAAAACCTCAGGCCATCGACCTGCTGCTACTGACGTTAAATATTTTGTTATCATGTTTGAGGAAGTTAGATTGACCTGACGTAAATTGGAAGACACTTGTAATTAGTTACTCTAATAAGAGTTGCAGAAGCTTCAACATGGAGTGGAAAAATGCAAACATGCTGCTGGGTCTGTGGTTTTATAAGGCTGTCAAGCCCTTTATGCAGTCTTTGTGCTTTCTGAATATAGTCCATGAAACAGAAAGCTCTTTATAGTTCTTTAGACATTTATATGCAGAGTCAACAAAGCGGCAATGCATATGGAGCTTTGTAAGGATTTTTAATAACCAGGGAGAAATATATGCAACTAAAAATAGGTTGTCAACCTAAGCATGTGAAATGTGAGTTAGGCCCCAAATAGCACTTTTCAAATAATTTTTCTTTCTTGCTACGTGGTCAGTTCTTTTTCACACAGCAAGTACAATCTTTTTATGTTTGCACAGTAGCAATAATTGAATTGAAAAAGCAGGAGTGAGTTTTTTACCCTTTACTTCCAAGCACCAAAGAAAGGCTTTTCCCTGTACCTGCTTCTTGTAAAGTGATAAATCAGGAGTGTAAAGGATGAAAGTGACTGAAAATTTCTTGAAACAGTTTTTAAAACTATTGCTGGAAGCATGACAACCTGTTTTCTCCATTTGTATGTAATCTAATGCCTCATAACCAGAAAAAAAGTGAAATGGGATGAAGAATCTGTTTTGTAAGACAGTTTTTTTTTTTGACTGCTTGGCGTTGAACTAATCAATCTGATTTTTTTTTGTCTTGTTAGCATTGTGAGTGACTGTAATTCTCATCAGCTTCTACAGAATTTTCATGGGTAGTACTATCTGATTTTTTTCTATGTATTTTACAAGAAGGAAATTATTTTTACCTTTTAATTTTTTTCCTTTTTTTTTTTTTTTGAGGTTGATGATAATGTTACCAGGCATTTGGATAAAGTGTTAAAGAGAGAAGACTGGGATCTCCTAATACTACATTACTTGGGGTTGGACCATATTGGACATATGACTGGGCCAAACAGCCCGTTAGTAGGACCAAAACTTCGTGAAATGGATAACATCCTGAAGAAGATTCATATTTCTCTTCTTTCAAAGGTAATATAGCTCCTTCTTGGATCAATGTCTGTTAGTTGTGGACTAACTTTGAAGTGCTTGCTTGTTTGTGGGTGGTAGCTTGTTTATTCTTAGAACAAAGCAAGTATTCTTCTGTTCCTTTCCTGCCTTGGCCATTCCTCAGTTAACAATGTAGTGTGGTATTTCTAAGGATTTACTGGCTGACGTTAGTAACATCTGTTAACAGTCTCTTCTGAACAGCTGTAGGAAGAGGAGAGGAATGCCTGCCAAAACTCACTTACCACTCATGAATTAATATGGTGGTTGGTGTGCTTTCTGGTGATGAAATTTAGCAGAAGGAATAATGGCATATACGGCTAAAGGCTCTGATTTCTACAATTGTGAAGGCATACCTAATTCTTAGATGTCAAAAAGATTCAAATGGAAATGGTGGTTGTAAACAGGATTTTTCTTACACTAAAAGTAGCACATAAGTTACCAAATCTGAATCTGTTTTTAGATCTGGAAATATAGGGTGTCACTTACCTAAATAGTCTGGATGTTGAAATACCTGAAGGCTTTTTCTTGTTTTTGGCAACTGCAATTCAGAATAACTGCTCATAAAATTCCTATAGTATTTTTAGACAAATGGATACCACCACTGTATGAAAAGAGAAGTTAAATCCTGCTTGAGGAAGTTATAATCTCATGAACCTTGCAGTGGTTTTCCTGCAGTTTCTTAGTATATTTTGCTTTTGCCAACTATATGCCAGCTTTTGTCTCAGTTTTAGAATACAGAAATGGTAAAAGCACTTTACTTTTGGATCCAACAAGTACTGGTAATAACTAGAGAGGACAAAAAGTTGCTTTGTTATGGAATGATAGTATTTATTTTCTACTGTCTTTGATTTGTTAGCTCAAAATTGTTGGACAGGCCTTACTTATGCTTCTGTTTCTCTTTCGTCAGAAAAATAACCATAATTTGACATCAGTCATGTCAAACTTCTACCCCAAAAGCGCTTGAGAGACTAGAGACTATTAGAAATAACATTATATTTTTATATTAAATTTCTCTTCTCTTAATATTTACAATATTAATAATTCTGCATTCCTATTTTATTAAAAACTCAAGCTGAAGAAATGGAGTGGGGGAATACTTCTCTGTTAATGCTACAGCTCCTGGGCTCCTGATGTTCTTCCCACAGTGTGATGACCTTTGTTTAATCCTTCAGTCAGTTTCTTGTGACTCTGTAAATGAGGGGTTTTTTTAAAGCTCTTCTGTGGTTTTGTGACATACTGACAAGTATGTTAGATATGTATGCGTGTCTTAACTGTTAACAATGAATATTGTTGCATAACACTTAGTTGCAGGCATCTCTTGTAATCTTCCCCAGGTGTTGTGAGCCAATTTAAAAAATTGAATTTATTTTGAGAAATATTAATGTGTGAAAATGATAAAGGTAGTGAAGCATCGTATATATGCACCTTAAATTTATTTCTGTGACTTGCAGGAAGAAGCTTCTCTGCCCAATTTGCTGGTTGTTTGTGGGGATCATGGCATGTCTGAAACAGGTAGTCATGGTGGTTCTTCAGAAGGAGAAGTGCACACACCACTGCTGTTTATCAGCTCTACTTTTGAAAAGAGAAGTGGTAAGGATCAAAGAAGCTTGATGTTTTTTGGAACATGTTGCCATCTCTAATACGTATTAGCTCTAGAATTCTTCCTGAAAAGTGCTTTGATTGGTTCTACAGATATCTGTGAAGGCCCATTCTGTGTGCCCTGAAACTCTGGATTTAGCCAGAGTTTGTGTCTGTGTCATGGTGAAACTATAACTTAAGGTTTGTAACCGCTGAGAGAATTGGGTATATCTCGGACGATAACCTTTTGCGGCGCTGTCCTACCTGAATGTTGAGAGCTAATGATATCTGTTGCCAGGATCCTGGGGTACTGGTAAATGGATAGGGTTAGAAGTGAAAAATCCTATTTGAAGTAAGTTTTAAGTTTTGTCTTAGCCAGAGTATTTCCCTGGACTCCATTCTTCTCTCAGCCAGCCAGGATAAAGGAGTGAATGACAATTTCTCATACTGAGAGTAATGGGAAAGAGGAGGAATTGCTGTTGTGGAAGGGTGAGAGATGACAGCAGTGAAAAATCACTATTGATTGCTAAGCGTTAAGGAAAGAATATGGAGCATGAGTGTATTTAATGTATTGGCCAGGCAGTTAGTTTTAAATCATTGACGTGAGTTTATCTGTTTCTGAAACTCATTATCTACTTGTATAATACAGCTTAAGGTAAGAGGCAAGAAGGGAATGGTGTGGTAGAGAATTTTTAGCCTAATTTGTAGAGTCTTGCTTAAATAAATTCCTTGACTGAATGAATTGGTAAAATATGGTTATACCAGGAGTAAATATTTTCTTCAAAATAATACTTCCCTCTACTTTTCATTCTGCCTCTTGCTCATTTCCATCTGATTTCCTTGCTTTTAAAGCTTGTTTGCAAAACCTTGTCTTGTTTATCTTGCTGGAGGTTCCTGCAGCACAGTGGAAGTACATTTATCTGTCATTTATAAAGCTGTTACCCAGCTGCAATAGAAAGCATTGCTTGAGGAGTCATAATTCTTTTCAGATATAAAACCAAAACAAAGTCAAGAGCTGACCAAAGCTCTAAGGTAAGTTCGGGGTTTATAAATTTCACCGGTATGTGTCGACAACCAGGCCACAAGAGTAAAGATTCTGTAAATGCAATTTCTTGTTCATTGGGATTAGTTTCTGTTAGGTTTAAACTGAATGTGCGGTTTTTACAATACAGTGAAATATATCTATTCACCTGTCTTCTGGGAATTGAGTTTGTGATTTCTAATGATGCCCATGTAAATATCCATCAGCTTGCCTCTCATTGCTACAGTAATCAGAATTCTAGTGACTGCTTCTTATGATCCTACTGTAAACAAAATGTACTCTAGTTAATTTGGTAGACCTCAAAATAGTAATCCTGTGGGCTTTTGTATTTAGTATGCTGTCAGAATATTACTTGTGTAGCCTTCTACAGAGATGTGTCACCCACCATTGGCTAAACGCATTTGGTAGTTTGGCTTTTTTTTAACCAGTTAAGAGCTTGCCTGTAAGGATGAAATCTGAAAACTGCTGACATACAGGCATTCATGCAAGGCAGCATTAGGGATTATAGATGACATTCTGTACAAGTATGGGATTAATCAGAGCTACGTAAGAAATGAGAGTTCTCTTGCTCTTAAAGTGAGACTTGAGAGTAATAAACACTGTATATAGAATTCTTTCTGTACTGTACTGAAGACAAAACAATGCCTGGAGTTACAAGGAGAATGAAGTAAGAGCATAATAGAAGAACACTGTTATGTAACTAGTAAAGCACACAAAGAAACAATTGGCAAGACAATCTTGAACAAAGGGTTACTTACCTACGTTAGTGAAATCGTTCATGAGTGTAGATGTCTGTGAGACTGAGGGCTTACCTGCAGTAAGGTAATGGTATCCTGCACAGAACCCTTTAAAAATCACTGGAGTTGCCTGCATGGAGCCATGGGCTTGTGCCTTAAGATTCTTTAGCTGACCTCTAATTCTGTTTGCCTAGCAACCTGATATTAATTAAATCTTGAGCTGTTGTTTCTATATCGAGAAGCTTCTAGAATGCTGTCAGCATTATTTTAGATTCTCATTCTTTGCTCAAGCATTAAATTAATCTACTGTAGTGCTTTCTATTCTTTCCAAGGTAAAAGTTATCAAACCTTCTTAGGATGTAGGCTGCAACTTGATATTAAGGTGATCTCCTGAACCATGTCTTTCTTACTTGTGGTTGTATAACATCCATATTGTGTTTACAGTCGTTGCTAGTATTGAAGATTGATAGTTCCTGAGTGTGTTGGGTTCGTCTGGTGGGGTTTTGGTAGCGGAGAAGGGGCTACAGGGCTGGCCCCTGTGAGAAGTTGATAGCAGCTTCCTGGGCTCCACGTTGGACCCGCCTCTGGCCAGGGCCAAGCCAATCAGCACCTCTGTGAATAACATATTTAAGAAGGGACAAAGGAACCTGCGCCGCACGAGACCTGCAGCAGAGAGAGGAGGGAGACAGGAGGCCTGGTCCCTGGCCTCACGCGTGGGCTGGGCTGCTGCCACTCGACTGCTGGCATCTGCAGCTTGGAGGGCTCTGAAGCTCCCTGCTCTTAGAATGCCTGCTGGGTGGAATGTGTCCTGTCAGGACCACCAGAGTTCATTGGGCTGGTCAGGCCCAGTGCAGTTGCAGTGAAGAGAGGAGTGGGGTGTGAGAGAAACAACTTCAGACACCAGGTCAGTGAGGAAGGATGAGGAGCAAGTGTGCCGGAGCTGAGATTCCCCTGCAGCCCATGGTGAGATGACAGGTGGCCCCCCTGCAGCCTATGGAGTTTAACGGTGGAGCAGAGATCCACCTGCAGCCTTGGAGGACCCCATGCTGGAGCAGGTGGGTGTGCCCAAAGAAGGCCATGACTCCAAGGGAAGCCCACACTGGAGCTGGAGATTAATGATTGGGGCAGTCTGTGAAGACTTGTGGCCGTGAAAGACTGTGCCAGAGCAGGTGGCTGCACCTGAAGAAGCCATGACTCCGTGGGAATCTCATGCTGGAGCAGTCTGTTCCTGAAGGACTGCACCCCATAGGAGAGACCCACACTACAGCGGTTCGTGAAGAGCTGCAGCCTGTGGGAAAGACTCCATGTGGGAGAAGTTAATGGAGAATTGACTCCTGTGGGAAGGGACCCCATGTTGGAGCAGGGGAAGAGTATGAGGAGCCCTCCCTCTGAGGAGGAAGTAGTAGCAGAAATGTGTGACAAAGTGACCACAACCCCTGTTCTCTGTACCCCTGCACTGCTGCAGGGGGAGGGGGTAGAGCCAGTAAGAAGAGAGGGGTGAGGGGAAGATGTTTTTAAGATCTGGCTTTGTTTCTCTGATTTTCCTCTCTGGTTTGTTTGATAGCACCTTAAATTGATTTTTTTTTTTTTCCCCAAGTTGAGTCTGTTTTGCCTGTGACCATAGTTGGTGAGTGATCCCTCCTGTCCTTGCCTTGACCCTCTAGCCTTTTTTATTTTTAATTCTTCATCTCACCGTCGCGAAAGAGTGAGTGAGCGGCTGTGTGATGCTTATGTACCTGCTGGAGTAAAGCACAACACTGAGTATTGAATAAATTTTGGTTTTACAACAGCAGAGAACAGCAACTGAAAAAAAATCACTCAGCTCTCTCTAGATCATTTGAAACAGCTGATCTAACACCATTTAAAAAGTTTTGAAACTAATAAGATGCTGGCTGTCTCTGGAGAAATAGAATGGGCCTGTTATTGACATATTTTTTTGCCTCTCTCTTTTATTCTTTTTCCTTTTTTGGTTGATTCCAGGTCCTCTAACCCAACCTGAACTTGTGCAACAAACTGATTTAGCTAGCACACTGGCAGTAGGTCTTGGTCTACCAATTTCAAGAAACAGTGTTGGGAACCTTATATTGCCAGTTGTGGGAGGCAAGACAATGAGAGAACAACTGCGTTTTGTGCATTTGAATGGGTTCCAGCTTAGCAGGCTGCTGCAAGACAATACACCTGCGTATGAAAAAGGTAAATCAGCTAAAAAAAAGTTATATGTGCAAAAGGAGATTGTTTATAACACTGTTTAGGCTTTTAGGTTCAAGAGTATAGCATGGCACTGCAAATTGGCTATTCAGTTGAGAGCAGTGTTCAGAGAAGTGATACTGAGTTCAATCTTTAAGTTACTCTGGCACACTACCTCTGAGTAAAGTTTTTTAATGATCAGTACTACTCCTAGTAGGTAAAAGAGCAGAAATAATGATGGAAGAGTAAGATTAAAGTAAAACTGGCAGTATAGTTAAATCTCAGTAGTTTCATATCTGCTATTTGTGAGGTATCCTACCTAGGGCACTGATTCTGAGCTAATGGGAGGAAAAGTACAACGGAGTGAACTTCCTAGTTTGAATAAAAAGATGCTTCAAGTAAAACTGGGAAATAATTTAGGGTAAGTTATCTTTTTTATTTCATTCTTATGTGTGAATTTACTTAGCACAAGAACTTTGAGAGCTGCAAAGCTGCTTATTAAAACTACATATAGGTGTGCATATATATGTGTGTGTGAGTATTTGGAGGAAAAGGTAAAAAACAAGTGGGGGAAAAAATCCAAACCTAGCAAAATGTAGTATTTCATTAGGAAGTAAAATACAAACTGCAATATAAGTAAGCAAGTTAATATGATAATTGTGTGAAAAAATTGAGTCAGAGGATAGCTGGATGAGAATGAAGAGCTCTGTTACAGCTATGAATAATTAAAGTGGATAACGTAGGTCAAGAATTAATTATCTTTCAACATCATGACATGGTTGTGTCACTGAAGATTCCAACACAGAGCTCCATCTTACAGTAGTTCTGCAAGCACTGGTGAAACTGACTGAGGTTTCTACCAACTTCTGGCTTATATATTCACTTTCATTTAATTTTTGTCGGGGAATGGCTTCATTTCAACTTGTAGCTTTCACCTGAGAAATAAAGTTGCTGAGGATGGAAATGTGAGAAATTTTTATGCTACTTGCTTGTGACTGCAAACTGCTATTAGAATTGCTACCCTACTGGAAAGGGGTCGAGGGGCAAAGCATCCATGATTAATTTCTGTCCTTTCAGTAATGGAGAGTCTTATTAACATGGAACTAGATGCAAATTGTAGTAGATTTATTTATTTTTTTTATGATCTTAAGGTGAATTCTCGCTGTTGTAAACTTCTTAGAGGGTCTTGTTTTTCTTAGAGTGTCCTAGGTGTGCAGGGCTGTAGCTTAGCACTTTGGTCAGGATGGTTAAGATTGGCAGGGAAAAGAGATGTGCTCTTTCTTTAGTGTTGTTTGATTGATGTGGCTGCTCCAGGCCCTAGGAATACTAAACAAAATTTCACTAACTCAGTGATTAATGCTGCATGTAGCTTAAAAGCGTGCATGAACAGCCCTTTATTTTGGATGGCTTCTAAGTGAAGATAAGATTCTGTAATAAATAGCATCCCGCTTGTCCCACTACAGGCACATGTATGCTTATCTGTTGTGATCCCTATAGGAAAGGGATTGTCTTGCAAAGAAGTCATTATGCATGTTGCAGTTCAGGCTAGCTAACTGGACAGTGAGGTGTCCTGAAAAGTGACTCAGCTGCTGGGTGCACAGGGTTGTGACCAGCAGCACTGAGTCCACCTGGAGGCCCATCACTAATGGTCAACCTCAGGGCTTGACACTGGGGCTGATGCTGTTTAACATCTTCATTAATCACCTGGATGGTGGGGCAGAGTGCCTCCTCAGCAAGTCTGCACACAATACAGAACTGGGATGAGTAGCTGATACAGCAGATGGGTCTGCTGCCACTCAGAGGCACCTTAACAGGCTGGAGAAACGGACTGACAGGAATCCCTTTAAGATTCAGCAAAGGGAAATGCCGAATCCTACACCTAGGAAGAAATAATCCTGTGCAGCAGTGCAGACTACTGACTGGCTGGAAAGCAGCTTGGTGGAGGAGGACAAGGGGTCACTGGGGACACCAAGGTGAATATCAGCCAGCAATACACCCTTGTGGAAGGAAGGCCAACAGCATTCAAGACTGTGTTAGGAGGACAGTCATCAGCAGGTCAATCCTTCCTATTTCCTCAGCTGTGGGGAGACAACATCTGGGTCCAATTCTAGGCTCCCCAGTACAAGAAAGGCATGGATATAACATAGTGAGTGCAGCAAGTGGCCATGAAGGTGAGGAAGGGATTGGAATATCTGTCATACAAGGGTAGGCTGAGGGTGCTAGGGCTGTTCAGCTTGGATGGAAGACTCAATAGGGATCTTATCAGTGTAGGTAATACATAATGGGAGGGAATAAAGAAGACTGAACCAGGGTCTACTTGGTGGTGCCCAGTAGAGGGCAGTGGACACATTGATATAGAGGCAATTTTGTTTAAATTAAAACTTTTGTTATGTAAGGGTTTTCAAACAGTGGAATGAGTTGCCCAGAGAGGTCATGGAAGCTCCATACCTGGAGACATTCAAGACTTAACTGGATACAGTTCTGAGCAATCTGCTCTAGCTCATGCTGCTCTGAGCCTTTGATTTTTATTTGTGGAGCATCTGGACACTTGTCAGAGTTGTGCTGACAATTCTCGGGCCATAGCATTTCTGAATTCCACAGACAAGGTGTGCTGCCAGTTTTTTTGAGGGAAAGAAACCCCAGAAGATAACCCAATTAGACATTCTCTCATGTTTGCTGCTGCAGGTTTAAGCTTTCCAATGCAGATTCTTGGCTACTAACAACTGATGGATCATAACGTAAGCCTTGAATGTTCGGAGAAATGCCTATGACTGGAGCTTAATTTAAAGTGAAAGATACTTGCAGGGATAGCCTAAGCCTTGCTGCTTTTTAAAAAAATTACTATTATTTTCAACTCTTCAGCTCAAAAGGAGTAGGTTCTTCTGAAGAGGGAAACGTGGAATTCCTGCAGAGAGTATTGTAATTTGCAGCACAAAGATAGGGCACCAGCTATTAGTACCTTGAATATGATGACTCAGTCATGGTGAGAAAAGATTCACGTATTGTAAGCTACAGCATAATGTGTACATTCATTTTTGGTGCAATGTTCGTTTCCTTTTTTGATGCAAAAAGATGAAGCCAGATGTCAATTGAGATGAATCACAGTCAGATGGGAAGGCGGAATGACCTTTACATGCTGCATCATGAAGAAGCCATGGAGTTGCCTAGATTCAGCCACTCCAATGTTAAGAAGTTGGAACAGTACACAAAAATATCTTCGTCTTCAAGTGTGTTTTAAGTATATCTGTTAATAAAGAGCAGAATGGAGGCAGCTCAGTAACTTTTTTTTTCCTCAATGTCTGTTCATACAAACATGCGTTTTCAAACCGAGAGGTGGTACAGAGTTTTATGGGACTTGGGTTTTGATTTATTGAGGTACAAAGGAATCTTCATGGTTAAACCTCTCTTCAGGTAAATTAAATTTTAAATGAGAAACTTGAAGCTCGACTAAAGGTGTGATTATTTTGAAAAAGACTTTTGGAAACATACTAATAAATGCTAACGTGAGGCTTTAGGCTTTCTTTTGATAGAGAAGGACACATGCAGCTTAAAAATGGTCTGGAAAAGGAGAGTAAAACAGCTGGCAAAAATTAAAAAGCTGAAAGGAGAAGTATCTAGAAACACACCTTGGGCTTCTGAGTGAAGTTCATATCTCAGCGTAAAGTAGACAGCTGTAGGTGTCTAGTAATGCTTCCCTCATGTTCTGAATGTTCATCTGAATGATGAACTAGGACTGTTTCTTTGAGAAGCACTTCACAGTGGAATGAAGAGTCATGCTTGAGAGCAATTTGGATGTTGTTATTAAAATAAGCGTCCACTTTTCAATTTGGATCTAATCCTGAATTTGTATTAGATGCATGCTTTGATTGAAATAATTTGATTGTTACTGGAAGATCTATATACTGAAACCAGAGAAGTCACTTTTACATTGTCCGTTCTTTTCTTATGTTTATGTTTTTTTTTCTAAATGATTACTGTCTGTGACTGGAACTAAGTGAAGTTCCCAAACAGATGCTTGGGAAGCATAGCCATTTGCTTGTGATAACCTTGGGGGAGGCTGAAGCAGAAAATGCTAACATAATACTATGTAAGTAAACATTGCCAGTTCTTTGGGAAACCTGTACCTGGGCAAGCTCACTTTGGATTTTGACTCAAGTTTGACTTGTCTTGTGAATATCCCATGAAAGAGAGACTTGCAAATGTTACCTGCCAGTTACCAAAATGCTTCTCCAACAACCCAGAGTCTATGACCCTTTTCATTTTGTACTTACTGCATATAAATGTGCCATTGAACAGATATGATCGGAATTCTCAAAGGAAATTTGCTAACTGTGATCCTTTATTGCTTTCTGCAGGATCTTAAGATTGTTCACTTAATACGTGTCAAAGATATAAATATGGGTTTGACTAGAACAGTCATTTTTCATAACATGGACAGAATGGGTTTGGTGGGCAGTAGCATGAAAAGAAGTAGATGAGAGTGAAATAAAAATGCTAAAAGAGAGGAAGGGGGAGACTGGGCAAAAAGCATGAAAAGGGAGCAGACCAGCAGCAGAAAACGTGGAGAGAAATTATTTAGATTTCAAAATATAACCTGAACTCATTTCATTGTTCTATTTAATGAAATAGTGTCATGTCAAATCTCAGTTTGATTAAAGCTCATTTTTGATGGTCCTTTCTGGATTTCTGTATTTCCTCAAAAGTATGAATATTTATCTCTTATTTTGAACATACTGGGAGAGGAACTTCCTAGGGAACTCACTGTTGAAAGAACTGCAGTAGGGAAATGAACGTCTCTGTGCACACTGGCAGCTATCTTGATATACAAGTGTTTGCTGCTGGCTGAATTGTACTTTCTAGCAGATACCTGCAAGCCTACTGCATAGTAGAATCAGTATGCTTTGGAGTCTGTTAGAAGTCTTGGGAGACCAGACTGGACATTGAGTTAAACATTGCTTTCTAAAATTCTCACTTTGATTTCAGCGTACAGTAGTACAAAAAGTGGCTTGTAGTGATAAGAGAACTTAAAAATGGTGAGCACAATTTTTTCATAATTATACAAGAATTGTGAATAGAAATATTTAATGAATCTTCTTTCACTTGAAATAAAATAAAAAATGTTTGAGTTTAACGATGTACTTTTGCTGAAAACGCTGAACAAAGAAGATGCTGGTTTTTTTGCAAGTCTGATACATTGTTGATCTGCCAGGAGTAAAAATGAGCCGTAACTTAATTTTTGTGACACTGAACTTACTTCAGTCATTGCTTTAACCTTTGTCATCTGAAACTGCACAGCAAGTATTTTTCTCTACTTATAGCTAAGAAGGTAAGGATTGCAAGATAGGAAGATAATGATAGGCTTGTTATATAAAAATTTCCAAATTGGCTGTTTTGCCCTTAAGTTGTCATTAACTTTCAAGTGAAATCATGGAGAAATAGTAAGAATTGTTGATGTGAAGTGAAACTGAACATTTATTTCTTGCAAAAAATACAGATATATGTGAATGTTCACACATAGCATAATGTCTAGTGAGAAAAAAGTTTCTGAAAGTTATACTCTTTCTGTCCTTTTGTTATCAGCTGAATTTTTGTTGTGGTTGCATACCATACTCAGTGAGCAATATTTTAAATATCACATGGCATGTTGGAGTATGGGGTGATGCACCTATAAAATGAAGAGGAAAAACACGTCTTAAGTGCTTTTGGGATCACCATCATTTTCCACATTTACAATAAAACACAAACTGATCTAACTATTCTATTTTAATTAAATGCACTTGAAATTAAACTTACATGAAGTGAATAGAATATTCTTCAGGTGCAGGTAAGACCCACACTAATAATTTTGGCAGAAATTGTTTTAATTTTTTTTAGCTTTATGCTTGTAGTGAGTGTTTACATTTTTTTCATGAGTGAACAAAATTATATTCATCTACTTTGGCTGCAGAATTTGCTTATTGTCACTGCTGAGTATATTTTTAGGGGAAATAAAAAGAGTATCAGTCAAGACAGCTTTTTGTGTGAATGTTTATTTACTGATAGGAAAGTCAATGATTAAAATCAACAGTAGCCGATGGGAGAATAAAATAGTATAGTACTTTCATGCGTCCTTTGAATGGACTTGAATCATTGTCTCTCCACACCTGCCCTTTGGAATGTATCAACCAGAACAGTTGATGTGAAGTAAGGACTCTGTGAAATAGCCAGTGAGGAGAAATACACGTAGGAGAAAAGCTACTGCTGCTGTACTTGGAAAAGAAGCACACATCCTAATCTTTTCCTTGTCTCCTGTTGTCCTCACTCAAGCTTTTAAAATAAATTTAGAGAGAATAGGAAAATGCAGACATGTTTCTACAGTATAAGAGAGAAAGAAAAGAAACTGTGATGTCTCTGTATCTATGTTAAAAGCCTATAAAATTCAGTGGTTCCTTGTTTATGAAATGTAAGGAGTTGATTTAAAATTACTTTCTTCAGGGACATGGTCTAGTGCTAGTCTTGTCCTCATCCCCAGTTCTGAAGGCAGACCACAGTCTTCATATATGTTGTCAGTGTTCACCCACAGTCCCATTTACTCATATATTTATCAGAAGGTTTAATCAAAACCACTTTTCTACAAGAACATATTACCTAGGTATAGACAGCAGATGTGTGTCCTGGACGTTGTTTTTTTGAGTTGAGTTTTTCTTAACTTATTATTTGTTTGATTTTGTTTGGGTTTTTTGTTTATTTTTCTTCAGATCAGAAGTTTTTTAGACATAGATAGCCCATCATGAAATAACCCTTCTGCCACAAGAATCTGGCTTCCATGGGTTGGTGGCAGCATCAGGATTTCTCTTTTTTAATCAAGTTAGACTGCAGGCCATCTTATGCCATAACACTACGTTTCACTGCTGAGGATTGCTTTGCACCAACTTTATAGCCAAAATGCCTGAAGCCAACTTCTGCACTTCAGCTGTGAACTTTTCTATTACTGCTTCAAAATCTCACATCCTTTGTGTTTAACTTCATGTTACCAACTGGCTCTCCTTAGATTCACAGCAAAATTGAGGTCCCTGATGTGGTGTTTGTGTCCTTTGATGTTTCCTCCAGAGATCAGCTATTTCCCACTTGACTTGTGCAATATGGCCTGGATAATGAGTGGCTCCAGTGGAAAACGTGACTTTTTTGGGGTTTAAAGCATTGGAATAAGTTTGTCCTGGAAACATTTTAGAAGAGTAAATGAATGTTTTAATATGTTTGTCGCTTTTAGAAGTCTTGGCATTTTATCAGGTTAGGGATTAATTGCTTTTATTCTGCATAACTGGCTTATTATGGTCTTGGTGCTGGAAGATAATGTAACTTTCTAGGTGTGAAAAAAGTTTCAACCCCATAGCAATTTTTTTTTATACTGTACAAGCAAATAAAAAAGAGTACGATCACAACTCTTAATTAATTCTCATTTGTTCATGGATCTTCTTACCTGTTTTTTTTTTTTCCCCCCTCTCCTTAGATCCTGGTTATGAACATTTTAAGATAGCAGAAAAGTCACACAGTAATTGGATCAAGCTGTATTTAGAGGGGAATAATTCAGAAATACTCTTAAATTTTGGCAAAAAGGTCCTGAAGCAATATTTGGAGGCCCTGAAGACTCTGAGTTCTTCGTTAAGCAAACAAGTGGCACACTATGACATGTATTCGATGATGGTGGGGACTGTGATCATTATGGAGGTAAAGAAATACATCTTTCTGTGAAAAAGCTAAGTGCACAAATATAAAAATTTCTGGGTTTTGACTACTTAATGTATACCCTTACTGGTCTTTAGAATTACCAAGTATGAACTCTTAGAGTTTGCTGACTTTCTGATTGGATGAGGTTAATATTCTTTTTAAAGTATAACTTAACCTTTAAAATGATTCAAGATGGCTTTTGATATAAGCTACTTAACGTTTTAATGTAACTAGTTACAGTAAATATGCAGATGTGCTGCAACTTAAATTACTCCTGTATTAGTTAGCCTGAAAAAAAAAAAAAAAATCTGCCAAGTAAGTTCCTGCCTGTTCCTCTATCTAACAGTGAGTGTAGCTGCTCAGGACAGGCAATACCTTATGTGGGCAATTTTCACAATTCCAAGAATTGTTCTTTGTACTGATGGGTGTAGAGCCTGAAATAAATACTTGCTGTAAGGTGCTGGATTGCCACTTCATGTCTCATGTAGGAATAAAGATAAGATAGCCCATGTCTGGAATTTTAAGTGGTTCTCTACAGTTGATAATTTGGGCAAATCTCAAATGCTGGAAATAGCCTCTGTGGTAATGCTTTGAGGATGACCATGCTGAAGGGATACCATGCCTGGACACTGAACTTTTATGTACAGAAGCTTGCACTGACCTTTTAGATGAAACAAGTGTGTGTGTGTGGTGCTCTGCAAGACTGTGTAATTGGTGTAGCACTGCTCCTGTTCAGTTCCTGGAATGGATAACAGTGCTTACTGTTTCTACAAAGCAGATCCCAGGTATTTTACTCAATGGGCCTTCATCAAAAAAACATGCAGCTAGTAACCATGAAAATTTTGGTTGACAAGAGCTTGCTCAGCATCACTGTAAGTCTCAGTTCAAAAGTGCTGGAGGTGGTGTTTTTTTTTTTCCTTCAGTGCAGTACTCAAGGAGCTGCCTTGCTTTCCAAAATCTTTTTGTCTTGATACATATTTTCCACCTTCACTGAATAAATAAGGGTAGGGAATCTCACGGGTGACTTCAAACTACACCATGCTATAAATGCCATTTATCCTGTATTTCAGATGACGAGAATACCTCTGGGACATGAATTGATAACAGTGCATTTGCTCAAAAAAGCTAAACTTAGATTTGTAGATAAGTACAATTCAAGCAGTTTCCTATCATGAGTACTGTTTTTGTTTTAATTATAAATGCCATGTTAAAGATAAGACCTAAGCCAGTGGGATACTGTGAAACCTCTTATTTTTGTAACCAAGTGACTTGTGTGAAGTAGAGTATGAAGAAAGAAGGAAGACTACTGCAATGCATTGGATTTTTTTGGTCTACTTTACTATACCTCATTGTATTGTGGGAAAAATTTTAGACAGAGGTCTGAACAACTGGCAGTACAAGATTACAGGTTGGCAATGGTCTGATACAGTTGCATTTAACTTGATTTGTTTTAATCTTGCCCTAACACAAGCTGACTGAGCTCAGTCTAGTCCTAGCTCCATCATTGCCCCTTGCAAAGCATTTTAGCACGTGGCTGAATTTCCCCTTTACTTGTAAAGGTTTGTACATGAGTAGTAGAAATTATTCATTATTTTATTCATCTCCACGGCTACAGTTACCTGAGGGGAAGCTCAGAATTCTGCCTGATCTGTGTGAAGGTTAGACCAAAGTGAAAGTAAAACCAATAAATCAAATTAAGATGAGGAGAGGTACAAAAAATAAATACTAGGAGAATTCATGAGCTTGAAATGCAGCATACACTTATGAGATGGTATGAGAACTTTCCCTGGTTTGGGGGAAGTCATTTAACTCAGCAGGATCAATGTATTTATTGTATCAATGCATTTACCTCACACGTTGCGAGATAAATGGCCTTTGACAGAGTTGTGTATGTAACTTTAGGCATTTACAGGTGAAAAATAATGGGTCAGATTTGTTCACTTAGGAACTATTTTGATATCGGGTTTTAAAACTCTTACTTCTGCAGGGAATAAAGGTCATGCATGTGATCATTTACCACAGGTGAGGAGGCACATGGTAATTTATTAAACTCTGGTAACTTGTATGTCCAAGCCCTTAATAAATTAAAATGCAATCTTTGATTCTCGCATTTATGTGGTAATATCTTAACTGGGGTCAAAAAGCCCAGCATAGTTCTTAAATATTTTCTTTTTATGAAGTTTGTGTACTAGTAGAGTGACATGGATGACAACAGTATGATTTTTTTTTTTGTGTGAATTCTTATCATATGTTTTAGCTAACTCTAGTTCTTTTAAGTGTTAATTCTCTATTTTGTTTTAGGTTCTGCTGCTGCTTTTGCTCAGCGTTCCAAAAGCCCTGAGCAGCCGGGCAGAATTTGAAGTGCCCCTCTTCTCTCCACTATTCTCTTTGCTGTTTTACTTGATGTGTCTGATGCTATGTGCAGTTCACGTCATTGTATGCACATCAGCAGAAAGTTTATGCTATTTCTGCACTATGTCCTGGTTAACAGCAGTTGGAGTGATGATGCTGATTTCTGCACTGATGTGTGGCATTTTATCTGTCATTGCAAAGATCTTTCAGAATTCCAGACTTCCACAGAAGGTGAGAGTATGTGTTAATTATAGTTCAAAATGTTTTTCCCTTTATGGCATACTTTCAGATAAAGTTTTATAAAAGTTTTCTCTGTGTATACTTAAAGAAATTGTTATTGGTAATGTAATTTGAATAATTTAAAGTTGTAATTGAAACGTGGTGCATTCACTGTGGCATAATACCGACTGCTATAATGAAGATCATAAAAGTGCTTATTTTCACATTACTTTAAGAAATGTTCTAATTAGTGTAAATTATTTTGCAGTTGATTTTATGAGATCAGAAGCAGTTATGCTGTGTACTAATTTTATGCTCTTACATAGTGATGTTTCACAGTTGCAATTAAAACAAGATGTATGATATTTTGGAGCAACATGCACCGGCGATGATCTGTCCTTTTCCAAATACCATAGACATTAATGCTGCAAGACTAATAAGAAAATACTTTGCCAGTACCCTTTCCTATATTGATGTTCTTAATGCTTTTTTAACATAGTTTTGAAACTGTAACAGAGAGAGCAAAATAATCTCTTCTACTTTTTAAGTTAAACTTTTTAAGCTTAAGAAATTGAGCTTGTTACAATCTTTGGAATGCTCAGAATCGTTCTCAGTTGTGAGAGCAGTTACCTTCTGTAAAGTACGTGATGAGTTTTATTATTGTATTGAATGGTATTCAGGTATTTAAAAAAAATAGAATTTGCAATGTCGTACTCTTCTTTCGTGGTGAAACTTAGTATGCCAAGAACTGTCAGTCACACACTAAAATCAGCTTCTGTTTTTTTCTGATGCTCGTTAGTCATATCTTTCAAAGGTCTCTAAAATTCAGTAACTTCAATGTTCGTAGCACCTTATTCAGTGGTGCAGCCTTTGTGCAGTACAGTTTCTTGTCAATCTGGGGTTTCTTTGAATCACGTTTGGGGTTTTAGTACCTTTTTTTTTAGTGTGTGACAATGTGTGACAGGTACATTGCTTTAATGATATGGTGACATATTCCTTCAAGCTAAAAAGCAAACTTTTTGATTTAGAGAAACATTTAATAACTGCTATATTTCATATAATTCAGAAAATTCACTACTGCTGAGTGGAAATTACTGTTGCACTCTGAGCAGCTATGTGCTGTAATTCCTGAGCTTAATTATAAATTTAAATTCTTATGAGTAAGACTGCTGATTTTTATTATTGAAACTACACCTGTCTATAATTTTCTTTCTGTAATTTCTGAATTTGTGTTGTTCCTTCTTTGGAAACACTGCTTTTCTGAGAGAAGCCTTGCAGTAAAAGTAATGACCTTCTCTCCTGAAGAATGCTTTTTTTTTTTCCCCCTTTTCAGTTTTCTTCAGTTCAATACATTTCAGTGTATTGAAATCGATTAAAAAGGGAATCGTCGATAGAACATGGTGTTTCGTTCTCATGTTTATATTTATATTTATCAGCCACTTAAGATTTAGGTGTGTGTGTTGATCATTTAGATAGAATAAAATAGAGTAACAAGTCAGCTAATATTGTCTGCTTAATGAAATCAGGGAAAGAAGTTTCCTCTCAGGCATAGCTCCTAACAGAACAGTCTTTGTAAGCATAAATCGCAGCTTGGTTTTGGTACTGAAAATTTTTGTGTCAAAGCAATGTTAATATTTTGCTCCCAAAGCTAGTGATGCTTTTATAGATTTTTTTTTTAAGTGACTAAAAGTAGAAAGTAAAATTAATCAATGTGAATGGAGAAATCTACTGAATGAGGTGTCTAGTTATACAGTTTGTTAATACTGTTGGTACTTAGGGACGTGTTGGTGTTTAAATGGACTCAGTTCGCTTCTGCCATTTCTGAGTTGTTCTAGTAAGGGCCTTTATTAGCCTTCTGTGTTTTATTGTAAACAGGGTAGAAATTATTCTTAGAAAAAGTAAAAGAATATGGTCTTTAAATAATAATGCAAGATCAAGTGTGTTCTGTAGAAACTTCACATTTACTTGCTGAACAATGATAAACAAACACAACTGTGGAAGGCAAGCTCATTTTTCATCTTGATTGTTACCAGTTTTTCTAATTCTAGCAAACAGTAAGAACCTAAAAATGATGACTGTCTAGATGTGTGTAAGTTTACAGATGTTCCGCTTCAGCAGAGTTGAGAACGATGACAAAGGATTATAGCTTTCTGCTCCAGATTGATAGTCTCAAAGCAATTCAGTCTATTGATGAGCAGAAATCTTTGTTTTGTGGCTAGAGTTGAGTTAGTTCCTTGCGACACCTACTACTGTAGGAGTAACTTTAAGGTAACTTTATATGAGCCAAGAAAGATGCTTTCTTACTAGATCAGCTGGAATCTAGGAAAACACTGCTATTCCTTGGCTATGACTGGATTTAGGGTAGACTGTTAACAAGTATTGGGTGACAGGTATGAGCTCTGCCTTTTTAGTTTGGCCTGAATCTTAGGGTTTCATTCCTATGTGTTGTTGGCATGCTTTCATTATTGTTGGTGAGATACAGCTGTTGGTGTGAACAGCTTCCTGCAGATGGCTTATATATTGCTAATACAGCTACTCTCTCAATGATCACAACAGCAATTGCAAAATGTTTCCTGATATTCAAAACTTGAGCTGGGTGGAAGGGCTTTTCTTGTGAAAGGAATTAATTGCTAGCTCCTTGACAGAGGCAAATAATTCCTCAAGGAACACTTAAAAAGAAGCACTTACAGAATCTTCCACTTTTAGAATGAAGCTTTCTGAGGAACTTTGGAGGAGAAAGTGCCATTTCCATACTCGTAATCTATTGGCCATTTCTGGTGATTCCACCTAGTCAGTTATGCCTAGGGAGCATGAACAGGAGTATGCGTGAGAAGTCTTTATCTATCCCTTCTATTTCAGTTGTCTTGCTTCCCCACCCCTGTTTTGTCTATACATCTGCCTTTGAGGACAAGTTGAGCAAAACTAGACAAATTGATTAGAAATTATATCCAGGATACTGTATCCAGTTTCATATCCTTGCCTCCAGCATGCCACATTCTGCATATGAGAGACCACAGCAGCTGGACCTTTCTCCCTGGTTGATGTTGGGGCTTTAGATTCAATTCCCTGTTGCTTGAAGAAGGATGTTTCAGCAGCAGCTTGGCTCTTTTTCATCCTTGGTACCAATTATGAGGCCATCTGGAATTCAAGAAGTGGAAAAAACTTTTATTCACAAGTGAAATTTGGTGTCACTGGCAATAACACTTCTGTCATTTTAGGACAGTGTCTTTTGGACTTGAAGATGTTTATTTTCACTTCACCTTTGAAAATATCTCCATTTGACTGTAATGGAGCAGTTGTCAATTCAGGCATTTCATGTTTAAGCGAGAAAGGTGGGGGAATATCTGAAATTGGTGCATACATGTTTTGTGGAGTTTTACCTAGATAGGACTTCAGGACATAGCAGCAGATGATCAGATCATCTGCTTCAAGTTGATAATACATGAATGAGGGGATTTTCAGCAATGTTCTCCAGAAGGTTTGTGTGTGTGTTTGTTTCTCCAAGGCTGGGTCAGATAGAAGTAAAAAAAAATAGTTTCTTCATCCCAGGTGTATCTGTGATCCTGTTCGAACCTGAGACATATCTGAAAATGTGGGAAGCCGAAGTATGTCTTATGAAGTGTAGGCAAGAGTAATTCAGGTTGAGGCAGACATGACTTTGTATCCAGACCTGTGGAAATCTGTTTTTGTTATCCTGTCTTCAGTCCTGTTCCATAGGTGACTGGATTGCTGGATATATATCTCATCAGTCAGATAGGCTTTCCTGACTCTGTTGAAATTCCAAAGCAAGCTTCAAATATTTTGTAGATTTAGTTAGTGAGTTATGCCATTTCAGACAGACATAAAAGCAGTGACCTGGATTTGATTTACATTTTTACCAGTCTCAGGGCTCTTACAGAGTGATATGGTGCTTATGCAAAGATAGAGCCTGGAGAACGTGAAAGGAGCAGTGGGTAATCTGGTGTTGCTTGCAGTATGGATGTGAGAGGTTATTTACTGGTAAATGGGGCACAGACACTATAATTCACAAACATTCATGTCCCACCTTCCATCCGCTTTTCTTGTAGAATACCTAGACTTTGAGGGATAAACTGGCTGTCTGTATATCCTGTGTGTTGATCTTGAAGGGCTTTCTATGTGAATTAGGAATATTACTTAAGCTAAAAATATCTCCGAATCCAAACGTCTGTGACCTGTGCGTCTCCACAGTGTGAATCTGTGTATGGGCTCCCTTCTGAAAGAGGCTGGAAGCCCTGCTCTTCTGATGGCAGGAGCAGAATCTTGAATCAGGGTTTTGCCGGTTAAAAAAGCTGAAAGCCTTTTCTAAGGTCGCTATCCGATAAAAGGTAGGTATTTTAAAAGTAATTAAGACAAGCTCTCCTGCTAATGGCTTCAGAGGTTTTTTTCTTCAAATTGTTTCCGTTCACATCTAAAGATTTCTCTGAAGTGCTTCTCATTTGTAAGGCTTTTTTCCTACTGTGGCTGAATATAGAAACTGATTACCAAGTTCATGAATTTTCCGAAGACCAGTGCAGGCAGTGTTACTTAGCATCTGCTTCCTGACTGTTATTTATAGGTTCTGATTACTATGTTTCTAGCAGCACCAGTCCCTTCTTTTAATGACACTTCAGGCTTTAAATATTTCTGCAGCCCTTTGCAAATTCCAGAAATTTGTCAAAAATTTTAGCTTCTTGTTCATAGCTTCACTTTAATTGCTTGGTAGTTGGCTTAAGTACGGTGTTTGCTACTACTAGTTGTATTTTTTTTTTCCTGTTTCTGGTAGAAATGAGAGCCAATAGTTTTTTTTAAAATAGAGTACAAAAGTTAAAGCCTGTCAAATACAACTTCGGGGAATTTTCATTGTGCAGAATTATAGTGGTTTTTTTCATTGCATAAACAAAGTGTCCCTCTTTCTGTTTATTTTAAAATACTCTATTAATTTTAAAGTATTTTTGTTTTTTTTCTCCTCTATTTGATATTCTTTACTGAATTGAATGATAAAACATTTTTAT